GACCACACTCGGCCGAATAAGGAGGGGACTACGGTAGACAGCCCCATACTGCTTAGTGGGAAAATCGGGACGGACTTAGTTAAAATCTTCGTAGACGGGGGAGCCAGCCACAGCCTCATCAACACCGCTACAGCACGAAAATTGCGACTGCCACTGGACAGATGTTTACCTGAGATCGACGCACGACTGGTAGACGGCACGCCGCTGGCGATACGGGAACGCGTAGACCGGGTTCGGATTCGATGTGGGGGTAACTTCACGTTTAGCCAGGAAATGCTCGCAACGACCCTCGACGGAACCGATGTTTTACTCGGGCGTGATTGGTTGCGACGACACAACCCGCGAATCGACTGGACGACGGGTGACTGCACCGTGCGAGTGAACGGTAACAACATCGCCTTACCTCGCTGGGGCTCACCTGAGTCTTCGTCGGTGGGTGTCAACGCGATCACGATGAAACGCGCCGTAGCGGTAGGAGCTGACGTGTACGCGGTCGACATTCGGGAAGCCGAGGCAGCAGACAAAGGAGGGGATTTACAGAAACTGCTGGCCGACGTACCGAGTGACCTGGCAGCGCTGTTGAAGCAGTACAGCGACATTTTCCCGGACGATTTACCGACGGGACTGCCACCTCAGCGACCGCACGACCACAGGATAGAGTTAGAACCGGGGGCACAGCCAATAGTACAGCGACAGTTCCGACTGACCCAGCCCGAACTGGACGAACTGAGGAAGCAGCTCGATTACCTGCTCGAGAAGGAATTCATTCGCCCTAGTTCGTCGCCCTTCGCAGCACCGATACTGTTCACACCGAAGAAAGACGGGGGATTTCGCATGTGCATAGATTACAGAGCACTGAACAGGGTTACCATCAAATCCCGTTACCCCATCCCGCGAGCCGATGAACTGATCGACCAACTGCGCACAGCCCGGGTTTTCTCGAAAATCGACCTCCGAGGGGGTTACCACCAGATTCGCGTCAACCCGCCCGACTGCCCTAAGACCGCATTCCGCACACGCTACGTATCCTTCGAATACACCGTCATGCCTTTCAGACTGACCAACGCTCCCGCCACCTTTCAAATGACCATGAACGAAGCTTTCCGCCCGCTCTTAGATAAGTGCGTCATAGTATACCTGGACGACATACTGATTTACAGCCCTGACAGAGCACAGCACTTACAGGACATCGAAGCAGTTTTTAAAATCCTGAGTGAGAACCGCCTAGTGACAAAAGCGTCTAAGTGTGAGTTTTTATAGGACCGCCTGGAGTTTTTGGGACACATTATTTCAGCTGCAGGAGTGGAAATAGACCCGAAGAAAATTGCGACGATTCAAGCATGGCACGCGCCGACCAACTTGACCGAGTTGCAGAGTTTTTTGGGGTTCGTCAACTACGTGCGCCGGTTTGTCCCCGACATGGCGAAGCTGACTGCCCCGTTGACTGACCTGCTGAGGAAGGGGGTTGAGTACACGTGGGGGGAGAAAGAGCAAGCTGCCTTCTCGGCCCTCAAAAACATTTTGTGCTCACCGTCCGTGCTTCACATCGCAGATCCACACCGTCCGTTCGAGCTCGTCACTGACGCAAGTGACATCGCTGTGGGAGCAGTACTGTCGCAAGATTTCGGGAACGGCCTCCAGCCAATCGCGTACGAGTCCCGCAAGCTGCACCCGCCCGAACGCAATTACCCGATACACGACCGCGAAATGTTGGCGAGGGAATCAAGAGGATTGAATTCCTCGTTCGCTGGAAGGATCGCACGCCAACTGAGGACAGCTGGGTGCCCCTGGCCAACATCGAAAACCACCCTGCCTTGCACGTGTACCTAAGGAGCCGGGGATTCCGCGATATACACGTAGCGGAGGGGGCTTCTTGAGGGGGGGGGGGGGGTAGTGTAAGGAATTTTCTCGGCATTCCTTACGGAGCCCGACTACATCGCGTACAGCAACAGCCGTTGTTCGCCCGTTACTGCTAACGGGGCTTCGCCGACTTCGCACACACTGTTTCACCAAACCTCGCACTGTTGGCCTGGCCGTGTCGGCCTACGCTTCGGGACTAGCCCGAGCCTCGCTCCAGCGTAGCACTAGCTAGCTCGCACGCACCGCGTTACCGTTTGCATGTTTCACATATAAATGTTCGCTCATGCCTTCGCTCACATTTTGTACTCGTTTGACGCCTTAGTGCAATTCTAGCTACTTAGATTCATTGCACCCGTAACAGTAAGTCTAATGTAGTTTTTGAAGTTGTATCAAGCTTTGCGCCATATTCGGCGAGTCTCAGAAAATGGGCCACGGTGGCGTACCTCCCCGCTTCCCTTCCCTCATCGTGGCAGTGGCACTTGAGTCGCGGTCTGATTGGAGGTTCGGGCCGCGAGGGCAAGCAGGACATGCGTTCAATTTCGTGGCTGAGGCGGCCTAGACTAGAGACAAGCGGGGTTGAGGTAGGGCAAATCCCCTACTGCTGGTGCAAACGCCCGGAACACCGCAGGACCAATTTCGACGGACTTGTGCTAAGCCAACTCAAGCACTCGAGTGCAATGGAGCGTGCTACAGTCAAGCTCGTCGAGCCGCCCTCCCTCGTGTCGGCCACGGTCTGTCAAGGGCTGGAAGGAAGGGCCCGCCGCAGTCCAGAATTGGTGCGCTGGAAGAAAGTACAGCGTCAAGTTGGTGTCACAGCCACAGGGCGTTGCTACCTCGACAAATATGTTTGATCCCCTCGTCGCCTTGATGGATGCGTCACGTCACATTCATCCGCTCCTTCACTCTAAACCATAGCAAGCCACCTCTTCCGATTTCGCGATAGTAGTTCGATTTGACATTTTAAGCTTGAGATTAACGTAGAACGAAGAACGATGACCCATTCGCTGGCATCATAGGTGCACCTCATCGCGTCACAAAAGCACCTTGGGCATAGTGGACTGCATAAAGATCCCCCATGGCGGCAAGAGTAGATCGAAGAGCTGCGACGGTTCGGATTATAGACGGGCTGACACGAAGGTCCTCGGCCTGTCGCGCGAGCCAGTGGGCGCGTTGCTGGCTGCTTGTGTGCGCGCTCTCGTGGAGCGCTGTGAGGCACGCAGCAGCGCGCAGTGCGGCAGTTCAAGACACATACACCAGCTCGAAACCTCAAGCGACTTCCACAAGCAGCGGCGGTCAAGCAGTTGGATCAACGCCGCAATCGCGATACTTCCTGCTCCCCAACAACTCGTACGGCGCCAAGTGCCTCGACGGCAGGTACGGCGCCAAGTGCCTCGACGGCAGGTACGGCGCCAAGTGCCTCGACGGCAGGTACGACGCCAAGTGCCTCGACGGCAGGTACGACGCCAAGTGCCTCGACGGCAGGTACGACGCCTGCGCAATGAAGCTCGCCGAGTGGGCGAGCGAGAGGGGTTCGTAGCAGCTGGTTCGACGAAATTGCGCTCTGCTTATCGCGAGGCACCGTGCAAGTGGCAAACTCGAATCACCCGCATACCTTTCCCTCGGCACGTTCTGCCCTCCCTCCTCTCACACGGTAGTACAGCCTCTCTCGCAATCCCGTTAATGATTGTTCACCCTTCTCATGCTTCTTCGCCCTCCGCCCTACCACACGGTACTCACCCTCCCCACACCCATCTTTTCTCCTCGGACTTTGTATGCAGCGAGCCTGAACCGATCTAGCTGGCCGCTGCTACTGCTGCTGCCACATCCGCTGCTGGAGCGGCGGGTGGTGCCCTGCTTCTCTTACCCTCCCACCCCTCTTCTGCTTCCCTCCCCTCTTTCCTCCCGCCGCTTGCTGCCACCCGCGCCCAGTCCGCCTGGGTACCAGTACCGGGAGGGCTACGGCGAGGCGAGTGGGTGGTGGCACATCCATCTGCCGGGCGGCGGGTGGTGCGCGTCGCTCGACAAGTGCTTGGCGCGCTCCAAGTCCAAACTCGGCTCCACACGTGGCTTGCTAAACGGCATGCCCACAGGGAGCCGCAGCAGCAGAAAGGCGAGCAACGACAACGGCGACCCCGATGCTGTGAGTTGCTCATGCCGCAAATGCTGTGAGTTGCTCATGCCGCAAATGCTGTGAGTTGCTCATGCCGCAAATGCTGTCAGTTGCTCATGGCGCCGTAACCTTCCTCGTCCATCCGCGCTATGATGTCTACGTTCAGGTCCCCCTTCCGCAATGTCCCGTTCCCTTATCCTCCCTCCCTCCCTCCTCTCCTTTCTTCCATCTGCCTTCCTCTCCATTCGACTACTCCAACTCCCTCCTGCCATCCTGCACCCTCCAAACAGTCGCATCCCTCCTCGCCCTCGCATCCCTCCCCGCCGTCGCATCCCTCCCCGCCGTCCCATCCCTCCTTAGCTGGCAACCGGTGCGGCTGGTGCGCGAATCCGAAGCTCCGACACCTGCTCCTTCTCTCCCCCCTCTCTACACCCCTGGCCTCCCACTCTCCTCCCTGCGGGTCGCATCCCCCGCCCCCACCCCCCCATGCGCGCAGCCCCCGCGCGGCATAACGAGTGCGGATGCCGCCACAAACCCCACCTTCTACAACTGGCACCTCGTGCGCCCCGTCTACTGCGACGGAGGGGGCTTCGCGGGCCGCGCGGGGTACAAGGCGGCGGGCAACGGCAGCGAGGGCGTTCATATGGACGGCTGGCGAATCATCCACGCCATTCTCAGCGGTGTGTCATCCACGCTATTCTCAGCGGTGCGTCATCCATTCAATCTTCAGTGGGGCACCTCGCTGCATAGAGTTGTTTCTGCTTGTCAGGAAGCCCACTAGAGCATGTGTCCAAGTGCTTGCATCCTGCTGAAAGAAAAAAACACCACTGTTTTGGCCCCTCCGCTCTACCGCCAAGTGAAGTCCCCTTCCCTTCCCCCACACCACCACCGCCCTTCCCCTTCCCGTGTCTCCATGCACCCATCCTGCGCTTGTCTGGGCAGATATGCGCAAGAGCAGGGGCATGACAATGTCCCCCTTCCCCCCTTCTGACCATCTCCCCCACTCTAACCCCCCCTTCCCCCCTTCCAGATCTGCGCAAGAGCAGGGGCATGACAGCGCCCACGCACATTCTTCTGTCGGGCACGTCCGTGGGCTGGCAGGCGGTGATCCCCTTCTCCCCCCAACAATCATCTCCCTCCTCCAGATCTGCGCAAGAGCAGGGGCATGACGGCACCAGCGCGCATTCTACTGTCGGGCAGCTCGGCGGGCGGGCAGGCGGTCGTGACGCTGTGCGATCTGCTGCCGCTTCTCTTCCCGCGCGCGCTCGTCAAGTGCATCATGGACGCGGGGCTCTTTGTGGGTGAGCGCTGGGGATGGTATGCGTGGGCGGGATGAGGACAATTGGGGCTGCTCGTGGGGCTCTTCGTGGGTGAGCGGGGCTGGTATGGGTGGCAGCAAGTGGCGCTGTTAGTGCGCTCGTCAAGTGCATCATGGACGCGGGGCTCTTCGTGGGTGGGAGCAAGTAACTCTGTTGGCGAGAGAGAGCACGACAAGCAAGTATGAATGCCTGGAATTCACTGGTAGAGCTCATTGGTGTGTCCTGCGAGTGAGCATTGATGGGTCCTGCTGGTCGCACTAACGCACTCAACTGCAAGCAGCCCCACCTCACCTGCCCACCCATCCCCTCGTCCACCCCTCGCCCACCCTCCTGCCCACCCTTCTGCCCGCCCTCCTGCCCGCCAGACGCGGAGGACCGCACAAAGCGGCGGGCGTTTGCAGGCATGGTGAAGGCCACGGTGGGGCTGCACAACATGCGAGTCAACTGGCGCTGCAGTCAGAGTGAGTCAACTGGCGCTGCAGTCAGAGTGAGTCAACTGGCGCTGCAGTCAGAGTGAGTCAACTGGCGCTGCAGTCAGAGTGAGTCAACTGGCGCTGCAGTCAGAGTGAGTCAACTGGCGCTGCAGTCAGAGTGAGTCAACTGGCGCTGCAGTCAGAGTGAGTCAACTGGCTCTGCAGTCAGAGTGAGTCAACTGGCGCTGCAGTCAGAGTGAGTCAACTGGCGCTGCAGTCAGAGTGAGTCAACTGGCGCTGCAGTCAGAGTGAGTCAACTGGCGCTGCAGTCAGAGTGAGTCAACTGGTGCTGCAGTCAGAGTGAGTCAACTGGCGCTGCAGTCAGAGTGAGTCAACTAGCGCTCTGCATCCAAGCTGTTAAAGCCGCCATGCTGCTCCCCTCCTCTTCCCCTTAACTCTCATCCATATCTCACCAGCCAACCCACTCACCACTCCCATCCCCCTCCCACTCCCCCCACCCCACCGTTCACACAGCCATGTCCCCCGCCAACCAGTGGCGCTGCTTCTTCCCGCACAAAGCGTTACGCTTCGTGTCGTCGCCCGTGCTGGCGGTGAACTCACTGTTTGACTACCGCGCGCTCATGCTGGGCAACCAGCTGCCCGCCAACCAGGCCCAGGCCACCGCCTGCCTGCGCCAGATCGCCAAGGAGGGCGGCACCAACCTGCTCAAGCTCGTCACCAGCCAGAGCTGGCGCCACGACCGGTCCACACTGGCGGAGATTCAGTCAGGAGGGACGTTGTTTCCTGGAGGTGATTATAAGGGGGGGAGTTTGGAAATTGGGTTGACGAGTACTGTGGAGGAAGGGGACAGTCCTGGAAACGGGAAGGGTGGGAAGAGGAAAGGAAAGGGGGGTGGTGGAGGAGCAGGGAAGGGAAGAAGGGTGAGGGGGTCAGCAGGTGCAGCAGCAGCTGAAGCATCTGTGTGCGCGCCTGAGGAGCACAGGGCGGTGCTGAATGTGGCATGGCAGATGATTCAATTCACGGATGCTGCTTCCATGGAGCTCGGACCCACCGTTAGCACGTTTGTCACACCCGCAATCGCGCACTGCGCTCTGACCAGCCCAAAATGGGACTCACTGATGGACAAAGGCGTGACACTAAGAGATGCCGTCACAACATGGTATAAACGGCCTCTTTGATCACTGTTGGTCTAGGAATAAATTAGATATGCACTTACAGCTGTAAGCAATATCAAATCCTTACTGGGGCTGTATCAACTCCTGGAAATGTATGCCCGTTCAACTTCCTGAACCCTGAGGTTGCCTAGTTTGAAATCTGAGTCTCCCTCCTCACTTCACACATATTTTTTGTTTCATCTGCTAAAAGGCAAGCTAATTTTGTTGTGTGAAGTTTTCAAGACCGTGGTCTGAGAAGGGAACGGATGTGAAGGGCTGACGGAAGGATCTAGGGGAGCAAAGGGTAGGGTTGAAAAGGGGGATAGAAAATGCTTTTTACATACGAGAGCACCAAATCGAGGGTATTGAAGTGCAGGAGGGAGGGGAGGGGAAGCGAGGAGGGGAAGCGAAGGGAGGGGAAGAGAAGGGAGGGGTGGGGAAGGAAATGAAATGGAAGGGAAGGGGGAGGAAAGGGGGAGGAAAGGGGGAGGAAAGGGGGAGGAAAGGGGGAGGAAAGGGGGAGGAAAGGGGGAGGGGGAGGGGAGGGGGAGGGGAGGGGGAACGGAAGGGAACGGAAAGGAACAGAAGGGAACGGAAGGGAACGGAAGGGAACAGAATGGAAGGGAAGGGAAGGGATAATATGGGGATGAAAGAGAAGGAAAGAGAATGCAAGGATGGGAATGGAGGGGAAAGGATGGGAAGGGCAGGGTGACGTGATGAAGGGAAGGCGCGATGATGGGAGCGGAGGCGCGACGAGGAGAGGCACAATGAGGGGGCAGGACGAGGAGAGGCACAATGAGGGGGCAGGACGAGGAGAGGCACAATGAGGGGGCAGGACGAGGAGAGGCACAATGAGGGGGCAGGACGAGGAGAGGCACAATGAGGGGGCAGGACGAGGAGAGGCACAATGAGGGGGCAGGACGAGGAGAGGCACAATGAGGGGGCAGGACGAGGAGAGGCACAATGAGGGGGCAGGACGAGGAGAGGCACAATGAGGGGGCAGGACGAGGAGAGGCACAATGAGGGGGCAGGACGAGGAGAGGCACAATGAGGGGGCAGGACGAGGAGAGGCACAATGAGGGGGCAGGACGAGGAGAGGCACAATGAGGCATCGCGAAAGTGTGTCCTCCAGAAAGTAACTGCGCCGCAACTTTCAAGTTGTCATTCCGCAACTTTCCAACCGTAAAAAAAAAGTACAGGCCAAACGCTCCTTTGCACGGGTCACTTTCAAAGTTGCGGCAGAGTGACTTTCATGTGACTTCCCTGCAACCAGGAACGCCACGTGTGCGTGGCTCTCGATGTAACTTCAACGCAGCGGTGATGTCACTCCTACACAATGTCACTTCAACATTGCTTTACGGCCACCAGGGCAAGTAACGCTACAGTTGCTCGTAGGTAACACAAATGTGACATCTAAGTGACGTTGCCACGTGGCTTGACCAGGGACACGTGTACAAACAAATTGTGCCACCTGGACCGAATGCACCGGCGAATGAAATTACGCCCCCTGTCCCCCATGGTACCATACATTTGGACAGCCCAGATGCCTCATCCGTGAAACCATCGTCAAACGATATGTTGACATTCGTCACTTCCGTACTGGTTGACCGACACCAGTACACCTCGCTATATTCCACTTGTCGACCGTCGATGTGCATTACGATGTGCGGTACCGATCCGCCACACGTGCGCGTAGCTCGGCGCCGAGCCATCAGATCAACCATAACTACCAACCATAGTCCGCCACTATGCTACCCTTGTACCCAACAGTAGAATCCCAGCCCCACATCGCAAGAAGCCGTCCATCGCGAGCGTACAAATGTACGCAGTACATCGAGCCCACTTGTCACGTCACCATAACTTACGCCACTTGGGCGTCTGCGGCGTTGACTCCAGACGTACCCTAACGGGCGGCTCGACTTATGAACCGCCAGTTGTTCTCATTGCCCACATATGATACGCCATTTACCACATTGTGGTCGTACATGTGGCACAACTAGTACGCACCACGTGCTGCTCGCCTTTCGCGGCGCGAACCTATCGGTTCAGGCCACGTGGCTCAGTACGGATATGTGTCTCCAATTGCCCATACGCGACCCACGATACAATGTCTTGCTTGCCATCGACACTGGTTCATGTGCACCAAGATGTAGGTGTTAATCATTTCTTTTATTTTACCATAACGGCACACAATCTAAACTATGCCATCTCGCACAACTCCGTTGGTGTCTTTTTGCTACTTGCTACGGCACGCAATACAATACAATCTCCCCCCACTCATTACCCTGCACGTAGTAGTGCTTCTGCCATTCTGCTGGGCCATACTCACCCATCCTCACCCACGCTACACCGATCACTCAATCACGACAACATTGTTCACTGCCAGATGCATCGCCTCCGCCTCCTTCTTCGCTCAGGTGTGACGTCTCCGTCGTTGGCAGCAGACATTCGAGACCACTGGAGGACAGGCGGAACTTATGCGGGCCCCAAGCCCATGACTTGCGCTCCGCATCATAGGTCGGTTGCAGGCGGCCAATGGCCTCCGCCACCGCCTCGTATGCCAGTAACTGCAGGCGCTTCACAGATGCGCCGTTGTCGCACGGTGAATTAGTCAATTTCCCCTTTCGATCGTCCCAGGTGACAATGGCGTAGGTTACCTGGGAGGTAACATTGGGGTCGATTAGTACCAGTACATCGAAAAAGTATTGGTAAACCTATTGGACGAAATCTAAACTCACCACGTGCTCGAGCCACGCTAGATGATATAGCTTTAGCGTCACATCCTCTCCACGTTTTCCCTCGAACGCTGAGATCGCGCACGCGGCGAATGCCGCGGACGCGAACGGAATACTATCCCGTTTGCTGAAATGCCACCTCGACAATGTCTGCTCAGCTGCACCGAACAACAAACCATAACATGTGCGGTAAATAGATATTCAACCGACACCCTTGCACATGCTCCTCTACATCTGCACGCCAATACACTCACCCTCGTCGTCCAAAAGGGGGCCGTACTTCAGCCTGACCTCGCTCGCTGTACGTTTCTTCTTTCTAGCCCAAGAACTTGCACGATCCTTTGCGTGACGGAAGAGCCCCAGCCTGGGCAGAGCAATGTTTCGCGCGCCCCGCAGCTCCTGTCTTCCATTCCGACAGTGACTTGTTCAGGTCGGCACGTCTTGTCCTACAGGAGTCTAGCGCCAATGTTGCCAATTTGGGAGGAAGCCTTGACACAACAGCGCTCAGTCCCACAGCCTTGTCGTCCCTGCTTGGGTAGAAATCCAGTTCCTTGTTGGGCGCATCGATGAACATCTCTCTCCGTACCAGGGCGCACATGCTCTGCCCACACAAACGCCACTTGCAAGTAAGTCTCTATGTACACAGATGTCACGTTGCATCGCCTCAGGCACCACATGGCTCTCACCTTCCACGCATCGCCTTCACTCAATTGGTCAAGCAGGCCCTGTACCATCGGCGACTTGCTTGTTGTCTTGTGCTTTTGCACCTTTGCGGGCGGCTCTTCATTATCGCTGCTCGAGTCCGGGTTGTCGCGTGTCTCTCGTGTCCGTTTATGTCCAGCGCATCTGGACCCATTCGATGCCTCTCCGGAGGACCTTTTCCGCTTTCGCGACGCTCCCGCGGATATCGCCGACAGAATGCGGGACTCCAGACGAGCCAGAGCCTTTGTGTTATCTTCCTGCCCTTCCCGCAATGCATTGTACTCTTCACGAGTAACGATGCCGACCGCAGTTGGAGGGCGCTCATCTCCATTTGGCTGACAAGTCATGGCAGTAGCGGCTGTGGCAGCACCCTTCAGAGGGTCATCGCTGGAAGACTCGCTAGCAGCCTCTCCAGCCTTTTCCGCGTCAGCCTCCTCCTGCATCATGTCCTCGATCAGACGCTCCTTCTGCACATCTAGGTCGGCGTTATGTACGGCAGTCTCGTCGTTCACGGTAGTTCCGACATTGTCCCCGTCCACCACGGGCTTCGTGCTGACCGGCTGTGGCAAAGACCGTTGCGTCTCCCCTGCGAAGCAAAAATCAATGTCACATGTGTTAGGCCCTTGACGATACCACGAGTATGCAGCGTAATCGGTCAACACCATATGTCCTCAACGAGGTAAGATGGAGCCGCTCTGGGTCTCACGGAACGTCCTTCACCGTGTGAGCTCATGACTGCCGGGTTGAGTTAGCAGTGGGAAACTAATACGCACCCCCACATACAATGTCACACGGAAGTGACCGAATCAAAACGTCCGCTGTGGCCATTCCCACACCTTGATTAGCGACCACATCGCTCTTCCTAACTGATTGCGTCACATTGCCCCCCAATGGCCATCCCCCACGGCATGAATCCGTACACGTGGTAACACGCCATACGCGCACTAGATCGCACAACTTCCCCCGCCACACATGAGATTCTGGGTGTCGTGCCAGCGTTATGTTGATGGACACAACAACCCACATCAGCACGTGTAACTTACAACTGAGGATTAACCAATTGTCAGTTTGGGTATACCGTGTCTATGCCCGCGTTTCCAGCAACTCGCTTAAACCATTTCAGTCATACAGATAGAAGCAGTACATTGCTTTTATAGAACGCCATACCATGCTTTGATCTACATAGAACAAGGAAACGACACCAATGTCCCACAACGGATTATAACATCTAGACACAGGCGTACAACAGGAAACGACGCCCATATTATGCAGATTTTTTTTTCGATGTAACAGGTACATGTGTTATCTGGCCTGCATCACCCATCCGACAAGACATCTTCGCCGTCGTCTCCATCCTCATATGCCTCCTCATCTTCCTCATCATCATCATACTCTTCCTCTAACTCTTCATCATCAGGTTCCACGTCATTCTGGGAACCACCAGCATCCTCATCGCCCCTGGCATCAACCTCCTCAACGTCCTGCACCGCCCTCCTGGTATCCCGTGTCCTGCGTCGTGCTCCAGCCCGTCGCTGCGGAGCAACTGGCAACCCCTCCAATGCAGCGCGCCACTCCCTCCAGCGATTCCAACGCCGGTGCCTGACCAGCAGCTTCAGATGGTCCTTGGTGCAGCCAGCAAGAGCCTCCCTCTCCTCAGCTGTGAGCTCTACAGTAGAGTTGATTTGCTGGTTCGGACGCAGCACCACCGCGCCAGCTGCGTACGCATAAGCCGCCTCGTCCTTATCGTCGTAAGACCCCAGACGAGTCTGCTGTTTGCCCTTGGTGATGATGCACACATAGTAATTGCCTGACTCCGTGTTGAACATCACACCCGTCCATCCACTGGTCGAGGCTCTCCCGCCCTTAGGCGTTGCGGCTACAGCTCTTGCAAGGGCTGGAGTAAGCGCGGTGACTCGCCCGGCCACACCCTGCTGGGCCGGTGTACTCTGGCATGTGGCCTGGCCCGACACGTGCAGCGCCAGCACTTGGTGCATGGGTGTCTCCACAGCAATACCTGTGGGACGCGGTAGAGCCGGTGTCAGAGGGGCACATACGGGTGCACCAACACGACCACCACTTCCGCTTCCCGTTACTGGCATGCACGTAGCGTCCGCAGGCTGCTCCACATTGCCATTCACGGATACCACCGCCCCATCGTGCGTCTTAGTGACGCCCATCACGTCCTGGGCAGCTCCCATGTGCGAACGTGCTCCTGCGTCTAGCTCGTCGGATGAGACACCCTTGGTGATGGCCAGAAACTCAATCTTCGCAGTGAGTATCTGGATGTCGTGTTCCAGTACTGCAATCTTCTCCTTGTGTTCACGCACCTCCGCTACTCAGACCGCCCGTTGGCGCTACCAGCAAGAACCCTTCGTTCGACAGCCTGGGGGCTGGTTGCGGCGGAATTCGCAGCCCCTCTTTCTGTAGCTGGGGTAGCAGCGTCCCTTCTGAGTGCCGACACATGTCGAACCGCATCAGTCTTCTGTACCGCAAGGCAGAGACACCTCTGAATGAGATCCACTCGGTAACCGAAACGAATCTGGTCGACACCAATGCCTCAAGGAACTGGCACGTGTACACCCCACAATCCCATGAATTTGGCTGCTTGGGAATCTGGAAATCCTGTGTACATGGACACCACACGGTTCAACAAATGCGGGGTACATATAAGTACGGGTGATAATCCAAGCGGTGCACAACATATAGTTACTAGTTCCATATCCTTACCTTCATGATCTTGCATGAGGCCTCCGCCAGAACTTTACGGGCCGACTCACCATCCACGTCCGGATGGTCACGAAGTACCATCATGTGTAGGAGCCTGCACGAACGATAAGCGGTTAGTCACGTACATAATGTTGCCCCAAGGTCTTGAGTCGGTGAGGAGCATCTAATGCAAAAACCCAAGCATACGTCTTAGTGTTGTCGAATGCCTCCATCGTGCTCAAGTGCCGGCTCTCGCTGTCGAATAGTATGAATTTCACGCCGAGCGAACCATCTTCGGGCTTTTCTCTGTTCACGATGTATTTCGGGTTGGTGACGACCATGAGTGAGTAGTGACTCTGGCAGTACACTGAGCGCGCAACGTCACCGTGGTTAGGGGATGATACATAAACACTAGCCTATCGCGTCACATGCATGCCGACACAACAAGCCACTTATACCATACCCAAAAAACATAGGTACAGCGAGGTAGTCGTAGGTGAAGACGGATGGGCCAGGTCCCTTCCCGAACGGCTGCCCGAAACCTTGAGCATACGCGTACGCCTTACTGTCCAGGGCGACCCATGTCTTCCCATTGGGGCATGTTGGATAGCGTATGTTCAGTAATCTGGTTGACACAATGACAACAAACAAGTCCGTCAGAATGGGATTGCGCATTCTTCACCATGGAAAGTCACTAGAATCTACGCAGGGTTGAAGGTTCCTTACACGTTGTGGAAGTCTATTACGGGGTCTGTTAGGCAGCTCTGGTCCGCTATAGTGGCGGCGTCGCTAGGTGGCACCTGTGCGCCCACGCCAAGATGATTATACAGCGAGATCTCCTTGAACCGGGACTTTCCCGGCGCGGCCAGAAGCTTCGCGATCTCGTCATTAGGCGTATGCTCCACTTCTTCCTCCTCCTCGTCGAGTCGCGATCCCCACGACGTGGCCGACGATGTCGTCGGAAACTTAACCGGTGCCGCTGGTCGGCCAGCGTCGCGCGACCTCAGTCGTCTACTAGCAAGCGACTCCGCTACAGTATACCTCGGCTTCTTATTTTTGTGAGGAGATGAACGCGGATCTACCGCATCGGCCTTACGGCCCTGTCTCATGGCGGCAGCCTTAGTCTTCGGAGGCATGGAGAATCAGTATATGTAACTAAGCTGGGTAAGGTTATTCGAGAGAGAGAGAGAGAAGCCACAATCATGCCCTAAATTCGGTGCGGGCTTATAGCACAACCTTCCAGCATAGTCGGCTTGCTGGATAATGGCAGGCGTACGCGGGAATCAGCGAAATTGGCCTACCACCGCTTCGAATTGTGTTTTGGCGAGTTCAACGATGCACCAAACGAGGTTACATGTGAGCTCACCGTCGCCATCTTCGTGGCACGTGGATGCCTGCATGGTTGTTTGCTGAGGGTCACTTGATTCGTTACAAAACTATTTGAGAACAAAATGTCTCTCTTGGAACACATTGTCCGGTAATTCCACTAAGTATCGATAACCCGACACTCGAATCCCTCGCGTTCGCATACAGAGACAACTGCAACAGACACGCACACCATAATGACTATGTAGCAGGATTTCCAACAGCGCGAACAACAACCTCGGGCCAATAAGAACTATATTGTTACAAATGTTGTGGCCACAAGCTATTAAAGTGTGCGAACCTGTAAGAAGAATCCACGTGTTGTCGGAATCCTTGTGAAAGGCCACTCACGTCATTCTGAAATCCGACATTGGTAAGGGAGACTTTAGGCCACTCGTTGTCGCCACACGATGAATGGTGTGCTCTAAGGCTAATCTACTCCCGCGCCATTCTTATCCTTACATAATCACCTAAAACAGGCATAATAATCAGACCGTAAACCAACCTTTCTTGTAATGGTGGCGCTGCGTAAGCTCCTTACAGGCCTGGGTCTTCACCCCAGTAATGTCTTTTGTTTCGCCGAGGCAACGGTGTACCCTGGCCTGCAGCCTTTTCTGCATGCAGATGGCGTGCGGATGGACAAGAGCCTTCAGCGCCTGTCAGTTGGCCTTATGTACTCCGCGGACGGCACAGTACGCTTCAAGCCAATTGTGGTGTGCCGTGACAGGGAAGGACTGAACACAGGGACAGATGTCAATGCATCCGAGTGGGCGTATGTGCGTCGCACCCGGTCAGGCCGCATCACTTCAGAGGTAACTTTCACCGTGGTGTCTTATGGTGGGTGGATGAGTACATCGTACATACACTGACAGTGTTGTGATTCTCCGTGTGCAGCTCTTTACCATGCTCATGACTGGTCTGAACGCCGTCAGACTCGGCAAGAACCGCAACATCGTGGTTCTTGTATGCAGCAAGAGACACCAGTTGACATGGGGCGAGGGCAAACGTGTGACCGAGTTTGGGTTCGATGTACAGAAGCCAACCCACGTCCGCATCGTGCAGCTGCACAAGAAAGTACCTGCACTTGGGAACCCGCTCCTGCAGGGCATTGTCGCTTTCTTCAAGTCGGAGTTCTGCTGTATGTGGTTAGACCACCAAATGCTTGGAATCAAACGCGGCCCGCCCCCCGTCGGATGGATTCAGAACCGCCCTTCTGCAGTGAACACTCTTCAATGGGCGTACGATGCTTTGTTGGGTGTCTCTACAACCCATATCCAGCTCACGTTCTGGAGGACGGGATGCGTGCCAGACGCATGGGAGTCCCTGCTGCACACTATCAAAAATGATATGCACCTGGAGATCATAGAGCACCTCGTCGAGAGCTTGATATCGCTGCAACGCAAGCTGGATCTCCTTGACCTGCCGAGTGAGCTCCTGGACGCCCAAGAGTATGCCACTTGGGACGACGAGGTGTCTGATTCCGCGCCAAAAGACCCATCCGGCAACGACGTCAATGGTGACACTGATACTATAGACGACACGGCGAGCGTCGGGCCTGTAGCTGGAGACGAGAGGACCCGTCGCCGTGTTCTGCGATATGCATCAGCTGCAGATACTCGGTTCGCCACCTCTCACGGAGTGTCTCTACAATGCTTCCCGCGTCTATCTCGGCTGGAGAACGCGGCACTGGTTGACCGTCTCGTTCGCACACCAGTTAAGCGCAGACGCCACTGTGAGGATTAATCCTCACACTCATTCTCCTCGACAGCGACGGAAAAAGTGAGCGTACAGTCGCACTTGTGCGACATCTCAAGCATGTTCGACGACTTAGAGTACGGAATCTGACTTTGCGGTGGCTATTGATAATGCCCACAGGCTGTTTGGAAAACCCTATGTGTGCTATGTGCGTACTATTGTCGTAGGCGCTTTAATGCATTTCATCAATGGCATTGTGCTCTATGTAATGTGAACGTTTGGTTTTGTTGTGCACATTCCACTAGTATGTGGTTGCAAACACTGGCTAGTGATGACACTATATTACACAATATGTCTGGGTCCAAAAAACACTATAACGTACCGTGAATTCTTTGATTTTGGTGTGGCGCGGGAGGAACCGTTAATATAAGTTTGTAACATGTACTTGTATGGCGCCGGTACACCTAATAGGAAACAAGTGCGGTTCACTGAACAAAGTAGTATAACGTCGGGGATGGTTCGGCCGAAACCCTAAACGTGGTAACACAGCTTTGGGAGATGTTAAACGGGCGTGGTAGGTAGCCATATAGTATGCTGTCCGACTCTGTTGGTTCAGCAGCGCTCATGGAGGGATAATTGTCGCCGCGTAGGCGTATTTCGCGCAGCTATTTCATCCGCAAGCACTCTAAAATCGTGTACGCTATTATGCAGGTCACAGGTGTCAAGAATCAGTAGCACAAAGTTAGAACAGGAAAGAGTGTTTTGCACTAGCAGGCAGATGAGCACATATAGGAAACCCTAATTTGGGCTGTACTTGCTATAGAGTACCCCACTGCAGGCTAGACAAATGCAACATTCTAACAACAGGGGCCACACTCGCACAACGAGGGGCCGCAATTGGTGCGGAGAGTTTGCTGCGCTCACTAGACCCGTTCCTAGGAAGCGGATGCTGCAGTCCCCGGCAGCACCGAACGCGCGCGGCGTTAGAAGCACGCGTGTTGTTAGGACTTGCACGTGACGAACCTCTCCCGTTCATATTCGTGAAACTTATTTACGCTGTACATCCGGAGGCAACACCCGGCGGGACGACTGCGGAAAACGCACAGACGTTCATGGAAGCCATCGATGATTACACGCGTATTGATCCCAGCGCCAAGGATGCGGATGGTATTGTATGTAGGAACCCACCATCGTTTGACTACAAAACCGTGTTGATGACCAGCGCTAAGCAACTAGGGTTTGAGGTGAGATCACGAATATCCATTTCCCGATGTTTTACACATTTGTTATCCCAATGCAGAGATACTGATATTGTCGAGGGAGCGATGCAGGAAGAGAGGCGCCGGGGAGATGGCTCAAAAATTACAAGGTCAAGCATCAAATGCACGGATACAAGGGGGTGTGCGACGAC